GGGTACCCTACTTCTGTAATTTATCCCAAGAATCTTCTTCTCATAACAGGAAGAAGCCAGCTCAATCCGCCCAGGGTGAATGCCGCATCAGTACAGTACAGTAAGTGGAACGGCCATCGCATCTGACGTGCCTGACTGCCTGACTGCTCGGTCACGCAGGATTTACTGTCACACAACGCCCGAATAGTGCCTTTTGAACACCAGTTCTCAAACCATCCATCTCTACTCTGGCTGCATATATATATATATATATATATATATATATATATATATATAATGGGATCAGAAGGTCACAAGAGGGAAAGGGATCACCATTTCAACTTAGAGCTCAAGAGATCAATTAGAAAAGATCCAACTCAATCCATAAGACGTTTGACACCTGAGAGAAGAGTTTCAGCTATAACAGTCCAAAGAACAGTGAAAAAAAAAACGAGTTGAAAATTAAACCGTACGTGAATCCTGTGAGCCAAATTGTTACACCAGGACAGAAAGTTAGAGAGAGCGAACATGATGTTGAATAAGTTGGGAAATGATTCTGGAATAATATATATGTGTGTAGACGCGCAATTAATGATGAAAATATCATTTTCGTTTATGGCCAACTTTAACACTAATATATATATATATATATATATATATATATATATATATATATATATATATATATATATATATATATATATAAAAAACTCGTATTAAAATATAAAATAAAATAATACTTATTTTTAAAAGTGTCATACACGCGTAGGCGATCACGCATCTGTCGACACATGAATGACGAGGCATATATTTTTCCCGCAGTAGGTAGCCATTTCTTTCTGCGGTATACCATACTGTTCAGCTAAAATGGTATTAGCATGTAAGCGAATGCGATGTATTCGACTCGAACGTCCCGATTCCTCAGTCCAAGGCGCTATACATTACCCCACCGTACTATCCGATCTTGGCGGATACATATTTAATAAGTAAATAAATAAATAATTTAACAAAATTAAAAAAAAAAACAATAGTTATAATATTCTGTTCTACAACGTATCGAGCACTTTTAAAAAAATAAATACTAAAGAATGGATTACATATCTAACTGTTCTTTCTTTTTATTATATATATATATATATATGTGTGTGTGTGTGTGTGTGTGTGTCACAGTGAATGCTGGTGGTAATAAAGCAGTGCTCCCTGTAACATAACAGAGCTAAAATTATAGATATGAATTTACTTTTCTCATAAAACATCATGAATATGTATCATTTTTTTTTTATCTGATATTCTATTGTTCGTCTTCTGTCTATCTGAGTTTCCGATAGCCTCTGTCGACAAGTTCGGAAATGTTTTAATTTTCATTTATAACGAAATAGTATCCAAGCAAGAATCAATACAAAGAAGTCCAGGAATAAAGTGATCTAAAATAATAGGAAAATATCAGGAAAAAGTAGCAAGAAAAAACAACAGTGTTTAAAAAGAAGTAAACAGAATAAAATGAACACTGAAGATGGAAGAGAAAATCGAATTGGTTGGCGGCTATGACTTAAAATAACATCTCGAGAACCTATTCACATTCTTTGTAGTAGTTCCTGTTTTAGATACTGTCTTTTAGTTTCAGATTTGTGTTGTCTTCTGAAAATCTTCAAAAATAATCTCTATCTATAAAAGTCAGTATGTGTGTGTGTGTGTGTGTGTAACGAATGCACAGCCGCAATTTTCGACGGATTTCCACCATAATTTACATGCACATGCTCCAAGTTAGCGGGAAGGCCAAGACCGACCTTGCATTTCCCAACTCCCATCGATAGTGGAAACAATCGATTTTTCCATGCTTCTACGGCAGTTTTCATGTAGTTTGCGGCCATATTCTACTGGCCAGAGCGAGAGCCTATAGCTGGCTGCCACGAATAGACAGGAAGATTTTATTGGTCAGCGTGAGAGCCAACAGCTGACTAACATGAATGTTAACTAGCATGCTAGCATGCAAAAAAAAATTGATAGCTGCATTCGTCACAAGTGGGAAAAATTTAAATCTGCATGGCACTTTACACAAATTGGCTCATCGCTTGCTTAAACTCAACGTTGATTCTGATTCCGCAGAACTGGGTTGGATGTGAAAATGTATTTGTTGTTAACATTCTTTTTTCATTCGGTTTTTCCAGTTACGAGTCCTTTTTTAAAGCTGATCGTTTTGTGTTCATTTTGTTTAGTTCTTTTTTGTAACAGATTTAATGTTTAGTATAGAGCTTAAAAAAAATCGCAGTGTGAGATAGGCAAGAAGTAAGGCATGTAGCAACATCAGCACGGCAAGGGCACTCCTTTAAAAAGGCAAGGAAGGGCAAAAATATTTTAAGTCAAGTGATAGCGATTGCTGTATGAGTCGTACGATTTTTGAATCAAGCACGGGCCATGCTGCTAGTGCTACATAAATACTAATTTAATGCATTAATACTTATCTTTCTTTTGTGGGTGATTATAGATATTAAATACGTTATAGGTAATAAAAAAACGGCTATCATCAATTTCACACGCCCCCTCGGTTTATTTAACAGGAGTAGGGGTTTGTCTTTAGTTTTCTGCTTAGGACTTGTTTTCTGGTTTCTTCTAATGTCGACACTATAGCTCGAAAGTCTCCGACGGAACTCTGAAATTTTATTCACTATTTTTTTGTCTTCTACTCATTAAGATTAGACAGGCTCACTCCTCTTCCACTTCACTCTCCTCTTGGTGTTTTGAACAGTTCCAACCTCCGCTATCGTTATTCTTCATCCAGAAATCCTTTCTAGGTTACAACACTTTCAGAAAATACTCCATCAAATGGCTACGTTTATCCCAATTTAAATCCAATAAAATGGCGGACGGTAGATTAAGAGATGTTGTGAAGTTCTTCAGGATAAAATTCATTCTTTTGCAGTTGAATAATAGCAGCAGGTCACAAAATCAATGGATGAACGAAAACCTTGACTTGAACATCAAGTTTAGGTTTTATGTTATTGTATTTTTTTGTAGAATAGTCGTCATTAAAATCAACCTTTTTTTTTTTCCAATTTCTTCCCACTGTCTTACCAGCTGCGCAATGGTGAGAGAAAAAAATCGTTCAGGTCTTCAGTAATGGTACCAAAATTCATATTCTGGCTTCCATCTTCAAATTATATTCAAGAACCATTAAGAAAACGTGAACGAATTTAAAAAGAGAGAAGACTAGAGAAGAAAATGGGATGATGAGGTCACAACAGGAACAGGGATCATCACTTCAACTTAGAACTCAAGAGAACAATTAGAAAAGATCCAACTCAATCCATAAGACGTTTGACACCTGAGAGATGAGTTTCAAGAACAGTGATAAAAAGACTTAAATTAAATCGTACTTGAAACCTGTGAAGCAACTTGCTACACCGGGACAGAAAGTTAGAAAGTTAGAGAGGGTGAAGATCATGTTGAATAAATTAGAAAATGATCCTGGAATGATATATATATATATATATATATATATATATATATATATATATATATATATATATATATATATGTGTGTGTGTGTGTGTGTGTGTGTGTGTGTGTACGCGCAATTAATGATGAATATGTCATTTTCGTTTATGGTCGATTTCATCATGATTCTTCTGTTAATGTTGGAAAGTAATTATACATTCTTAATTTTTCAAAGTAGACTCCGCTTGTTTTATAAAACCTCGGAGAATTCCAGTAAGATATATTTAATCATTTCTAAGATATAACATTTCAAATCTTAATCTAACAATTGGACAGTTTTGCTCTCACACGATTTGGATAATTTTGGTGTTACACTGTTATATATATATATATATATATATATATATATATATATATATATATATATATATATATATATATATATATATATATATATATATATATATATATATATATATATATATATATATGTGTGTGTGTGTGTGTAAAAAATCTTATATACATGTTGCCTGATACAAATATACAGCAGTTTATTAAAATAATCACATGCCTGCACACACAAGCGCGCGCTGAATCGTAGTCGAAAGTAGTTATGGAAAAAGGTGAGGTCTCTTGAGAAACAAGGTATGTATCTACTTTCCATCGCAAAATCGAAAGAAATAAATAAGAGATAAAATAAATACAGATATAAAATACTATAGATCTGAATATCTTTTAAAAAATATCTCTTCACTGTTTAAAATCGATATAAAAATGTTTTGTTTACGACAATGACTCGAAGGAAGGTAATTTTTATCTACAAAGGTCATCTCAGTCTATTGCAGCCAAAAAATACATCTGAGTTCTTTGTTTCGATCGTATTTCAACTAATGCACGAACTGACAGCGCTCGCCGAGAAAGATGTGCCGAAGAACAGTATAGATGCCTGGCATCTCGCAACTGCGATATTTACAAATATTTTATTCGAAAAAACAAGTAGAAATGAGTCGAAATTAATAAGCTTAATATCTAAGAATAATCTTTTTTCCATTTATTTTACTAAAGATATTTTTCCTTTCGAAACTTGTTGTTTACGAAATACATGCTTCGATCTAGTGCAGTTGATTACTGTTGCTTTGCTATCAAAATGACTTTTTATGTTCTGGGTTGTCAAAAGTTCGTCGTCTATTTCTCAAGAAGGTTTTCGACAACAGGCTGTCCTCTTCGAGATTTAAAAAACAAAAGAAGATCACGAACAATTCACCATTGAATTTGTGATCTTTCCATCTGAATTACACTCTGTTCTATTCATTGTCAATCACTTCTGCTGATCGTGTAAACATACACCCACGGCCATGATCAGCTTTTAGCTGACTGGACAAATGTTGTGATTCGATTCTAGTCGGTGCGAAATTTTAGAAAGGTCCGGTGTATGTCCACAAAGTAAGGGAAGGCGAAATAAGGAGATGGCGAAAACAGAAAACACAAATGATGTTTTCAATATAATGGGTAAGAAAGGCAGAGAGAAACATCGATTAACCTATCGAAGATGTTTGTGAAGCTGGATAGCAAAGTATCGCTTAGTGTTACATGAAGAAGAAGGAGGAAGAGGAGAAGAAGAAGAAAGAAGAAGAAGAAGAAGAAGAATAAAGAGGAGGAGGAGCAGGAAAAGTAGAAGAAGAAGGAGGAGGAGTAGAATAAAGAGAAGAAGAAGAAGAATGTGAAGAAGAAGAAGTAGGAGGAGAATAAAGAGAAGAAGAAGAAGAACTAGGAGGAGGCGAATAAAGAGGAGGGGAGAAGAAGAAGAAGGAGGATGTGAAGAAGAAGAAGAAGGAGGAGTAGGAGAAAAAGAAGAAGTAGGAGGAGGAGAATAAAGAGGAGGAGGAGAAGAAGAAGAAGAAGAAGAGGAAGAAGAAGGAGGAGGATGTGAAGAAGAAGAAGAAGGAGGAGTAGTAGTAGAAGAAGAAGAGGAAGAAGAAGAAGAAGAAGGAGGAGGATGTGAAGAAGGAGGAGAATAAAGAGGAGGAGGAGAAAAGAAGAAGAAGAAGGAGGAGGAGGAGAAGAAAGAGGAGGAGAAGAAAGAGGAGGAGAAGAAGACGATGTGAAGAAGAAGAAGCAGGAGGAGAATAAAGAGGAGGAGGAGGAGGAGAAGAAAAAGGAGGATTTGAAGTAGAAGAAGGAGGAGGAGAATAAAGAGGAGGGGAGGAGTAGAAGAAGAAGAGGAAGAAGGAGGAGGAGGATGTGAAGAAGGAGGAGAATAAAGAGGAGGATGTGAAGAAGGAGGAGAATAAAGAGGAGGAGGAGAAGAAGAAGAAGGAGGAGGAGGAGAAGAAAGAGGAGGTGAAGAAAGAGGAGGAGGAGAAGAAGAAAGACGATGTGAAGAAGAAGAAGAAGGAGGAGGAGAAAAAGAGGAGGAGGAGAAGAAGAAGGAGGAGGATTTGAAGAAGAAGAAGAAGAAGAAGAATTAAACAAAGTACATTAGCTCGATATTCTTTGACGGCGAGAAAAAAAACATTTCGAATTCAGAAATAAATCGCATTATCGGATAGAAATCGTAGAACCGAGTTCCAATTCCAGTCGGGCTCGTTACATTTACTTAGGCGCAAATATCTTTGAAAAAAATATGAATCATTCTTCTCTCGCCAACTAGGGGTTAAATAATAGAATTATGGGGAAATCATAGTTATTCGCAAACTATTGTTAATAAAATATTCTCTTGCAAAAAAAAAGAAAGAATTATTCTGACAATCCAATATATATTTCTGTTTGAAATAACCTAAAAACGTTGATAAACTTTGAAAATTAAATCAAACAAGCAACATCTGATAACAATGGAACAAGCATCGCTTGCCTTGAGCAAGTGTTTATGACAAGATTCGTTTTAACTATTTCGACTATATAAGCTTTTATAATATAACGAGACAAAATACGTAGTTATTCGATTACCTTCCGTCTACGATAGTTTTGCATATGTAAATAGCTATTGTTCTAAGTAATTTTTGTGTCCGACGGAATAAAATTAATAATATTAAACATGGCGATGGTTAATCTAAAACATTAAGTAACTTCAAAATATTCTGTATCATCATTCACGAACCGGACGTTCAATTTTCCCAGTTCTCTTAGTTTCCTCTTAAAGTCGTGTTTTCTCCCCATTTTGAACTTTCTTTCGTCTTCACCTTGTGGTCCGTTAGTTCAAATCTGTGAATTGACAGGTCGGCCTTTCTCAGTTTGCGCCTAATTTTCTAAATTCTTACAGCGCAGTTCCTAAATTTTATCTAATCATGATGAACGGTTGGGGTCCCAATGACATTCTTTGAACGTCTATTGCGACTCAAGTTCACTCCAGACTTTAAGTAGATCTACTAGATATGTCTGGGTTAATTGTTCCGTTCGAGAAAGTGCCTGCGGAACTTCTGCCATGCTCTCTCTTTACATGAAGTACTGCTACGACATCTTGAATGGAGCTGACCAAGCTTCACTTTCCAGCCTAGAAACGGCGGTTGTGTGGATGAGGAATTGTCTCCCACCATACCACCTCTTTCCCACAAACGAAACGTTGATAGCCTTTCGCTGCTCTATCGCTATTTTCAAAGCAGATATCAGAGAGAACTACAGTTCTTGGTTACACTTGTCTCGTCCTTCGTAGCTAGGGCCGGCCATGTTACGTACATCGAATCAAACCATCCTCATTACCTTCGTATTTCATCTAAAAGGAGGAAGTTTCGTTCCGACAGATTCTTCCCCAGAACTGTTGCATTTGGATAACAGAGAGTGCTTCCTGGATCAATCACTCTTAAGGTCTACAGTCAAAAGTTGTCCTCATAACATACATTTGTAGGCCTTTACACCAGCGACATTTTGCAATGTTCTATATTGAGTTGCTCTTCGGCCTTATAATAGTAAAGATTAATAATTAAATACATAAAAATTACTCTCAAATGCAGTGTAACAGCCCAGTGCATACTCCAGCTCAGAAGAGTACCTCAATGTGATGTAATGGTTAACAAACTTATCTCGCTAAAACAATTACTATTGAATAGTGAGTTCGATCTACACGGGGAGCCCCATACTTCGGCCTTGTTCCGTATTTAAATTAAACTTACAAAATCACCATACCACGTTGTTATTTAAAAGTATCTGTTTCATACCCGTGTATAAGTTAGGCTACAGCAGTTTATACTCCCAGGTATAAAATAGGCTATGTGACCACCTAAGCCTAAATATACCTCCTTCTCTTCCCATGTAATATGATGATCTTCTAAGCGTAGCTTAAATGTGACCCAAGACCGAAAGTCAAGCATTTATGTGCCATTCGTGATACAAGCTTAGGCGGTCATGTATTTTTCGATACCTGACTGACGAGGCAGATTTTTTCCAGCAGTAGGTTGTCATTTCATTCTGCGGTAGATAAGTTGCCATCTAAGGCTATAGAACTCAGTCTGTTCTGCTATTTTACCATAGCTGGGGTGGGGGAGAAGAAAATTCATACCTTTTCCACGGGTATTAGCACGTAAGTGAATGTAATAGATTCGAATGAAATTCGAACTCGGCTCTCCAATTCCTCAATCCGAGCCGCTATACATTCAGCAGAAAAAAAGAACACTTATATTTAATATTAGGAATTTGTACAGCATATAATAAGGAAAGAGGGCTTGGGAAATTTGATACTCATAGGACAGATTGAAAGCAGGATTGACTGATAAAAATAGCGCAGTGACTACCTGTAGTGAATATAATGGATTCGAGTGAATTTCGAACCCGGCTCTATCGATTACCTCAATCTGAGCCGCTATGCATTACTCCACCGAAGAGAAATCTAATTTCCTGAAAAATTGCTCTCATAAATAGAAACATCTTAGAAATTCCAACTGACAGTCACAATAACTCTTTCGTCAATGAATGTCGACATTTTTCCTGTGTGGAAACAGTTAAAATCAAGTCAACGAGTATTAATTTGCGAATTAGTTTCTCTGATCATTGTCCTATGCTAAAGTACACCTCTGGAACATTAAACAATTATAGATATTATAGAAAGATATATAGACAATTTTATTTTTCATAGCAGAATGGGAATCTTTGAAATAATGTTTGGTGTTGTAAGAAGCCTAATGCGGAAATTAATCGCTAGAAAACGTCAAATATTCCAACTTTCGATATTTTTTTTTTCTCTATTCTTTGAGCCACGAGTCTGTAGAAGTAAATAAAACACTTATTATCAATGTAATTCATATGAATAATTAAACTGTAACAATATTATTAATGTACGGATTAATTAAACAACGGGAAAGAAAGAATAAATCAAAGTTGAAAGAGAGCAGACTGAAAAAAACAAGAATGGCGGATTAAAAATAATGACAAGACGTAGAAAGAAAAAGAATCGAGAAATAGAAGAAAAAAAAGAAGGAAAGATAGAAAGCGTCGAGAGAGAAAAGGATGAGAGAGGAGTCGAAGGAAATAAATAAGAAAGTGAAGAGGAAGAGAAAAAGAAAAAGAGAGAAATTGAAGAGGAAGGAAAATAAGAAAGGGAAAAGGAAGAAAAAGATTAAATTGAAAACGTAAGAGAAAATAAAATAAAGAGGAAATGAAGAAATCGAAAACGAAATAAAATAAGAAAGTGAAGAGGAAGGAAAAGAAGATAGTGAACCAGAAATAAGGAAGTGAAAAGAAAGAAGAAAAAGAAAGCGAAGAGAAAAGAACAGAAGAAAATAAAGATGAAGGAAATGAAGAAATTCAAGATGAAAAAAAAAACGGAAAAAAGGAAAGCTAAGAAGAAAGTTAAATTAGACAGAAAGAAAGAAAATCAGCTAAAAATTGAAGTTCACAAGAAAGGAGAAAACAAAGAAAGAAAGAATGAAAAAAGAAAGAAAGACAAAGGAAAGAAAAGAGAGAAGCTCACAAGAAATGAACCAAGTAACCAGAAAGAAAAGCAGCTATTAAAAAAGAAGTTGACAAGCAAACAAACAAGAAAGAAAAAAGAAAGAAAGTAAAGCAGCTATTAAGAGAGAAGCTAACAATCAAGAAAGAATGAAAGAAAGAAGGAAACAAAAAGAAACATACAAACAAACAAATAAAAGAAAGAAAGAAAGAAAGTACTTGTAAACAAATAAATTGTCAGGAAACAAAGAAACAAGCAAAAGAAAGAAAAAAAAAACAGAGTCGAGGAAGAAACAAACAAAAACAGTTAATAAAAGAGAAGCTGACAAACAAGAAAGAAACAAACAAACAAACAAAAAGAAAGAAAAAAGAAAAGAACTTACAATACAAGAAACTTACGAGAAACAACTAAGAAAGAGAAAAAGAGAAAAAAAGAGAAAAAACGATGTTAAAAAAGAAGCAAATAATACTTATGAGAATGCACGACAAAAACAACTTGAAAAATGCAACAGAAAGAAAGAAAGAAAGAAAGAAAGAAAGAAAGAAAGAACTTACAATGGGAGAAACTTACTAGAAACACCTAAGAAAGAAAAAAGTAAAAAAAAAGAACGATGTCAAAAAAGAAGTAAACAAAACTTATGAGAATCTCTAAACGAATGCACGACAAAAACAGCTTGAAAAATGAAACAGAAAAAAAGAAAGAAAGAAAACAAGAGGACGAAACAGATAGAAAGAAAAGGCATTTATAGAGAGACAAAGTGGAAGAAATAACGAAACACGTAAAAGAAAGAATGAATGTAAAGCATCTACAAAGGGGGAAGTTCATGAGTAACAAGAACTAAGTAAACAAATAAAAGAACAACGAAACTAGTAAAAGAAAGAAAAAAAGAAACAAACAAAAGAAAAGGACGTATAATGAGGGAAGTTCTCCAGAAATGAGTCAAGTAAACAGAAAAAAAAAACAAAAACAGTTACTAAAAGAGAAGGCGACAAACAAGAAAGAAAAAAAGAAAGAAAGAACTTACAATAGGAGAATCTCACCAGAAACAACTAAGAAAGAACGAAATATAAAAGAAAGAGAGAAACATTGTTGACAAGAAAGAAGGAAACAAATAAAATTTAAACTAACAAACGAACACACGGAGAGACAAACCAGAAAAAAAAACATCTAGGAAAATGAAAAAAAAGAAAAAGAAAAGAAAAAAAAAAAAAAGAAAGAAAGAAAGAAAGAAAGAAAAACAGTTAATAAGAGAGAAGCCGACAAAAAAGAGAGAAAGAAAGAAAGAAAGAACTTACAATAGGAGAATCTCACCAGAAATAACTAAGAAAGAACGAAATATAAAAGAAAGAAAGAAACATCGTTGACAAGAAAGAAGGAAACAAAGAAAATTTAAACTATCAAACGAACACACGGAGAGACAAACCAGAAAAAAAAACATCTAGGAAAATGAAACAGAAAGAAAGAAAGAAAGAAAGAAAGAAAGAAAGAAAGAAAGAAAGAAAGATCAACGAAAGAAATAAAAAGAAAAGAAAAAGCATCTACAAATAGACAAACTGAAGGATATGACGAAACAAGTAAAAGAAAGAAAGAATATAAAGCAGCTACAAATGGAGAAATTCAAGAGAAACAATAACGAAGTTAACAAATAAAAGAACGAAAGAGACAACAGAAAAGAAATGTCGAAGAAACGAAAAAGAAAAAAAAAACGACGAATCTAAACAATAAAATATATTACAAATATACATTATAACTACATTCCCAGAAAGAAATTAATAAATGTCGCGATTTGATAATTTTTAATCAAATTCCCCACTCAGGTCAATGAAAACGTCTGTTGTCGAGTCTTCAATAATTGCTAACCGCCAGGAAAACACTATCTCTTACTACCAATTATTTTTTTCATTATGTATCGGTGTAGATTACAATAATATGCAAATAGAATTATTATCAACCATACATTGCAACTAATTATTTACACCACAGAGATATAATCTCTGGGGCCGACATTGGAAAAAGGGCGATCGATATTGCTCATCTGGTAATAATGTAGGTTTTAAATTTCATGGGTTAGAATTGTGTCGTGCTTTCGAACTGGCATATTGACGTTAGGAAGGACGTCTTCCAAAGTGTTATGTCGCAATTTAATAAGCGTAGCTTAGATGTGGTACAAGGACAACAATATGCAGCACCCAATGGGTATAGAACTTCCTACTCAGTAGTAATTGATCTTGCGAGACAAGCTTGATAAATATTACCCCACTTCGGAGGGATAATGATTTTGTAAACGTAGCTTAGATGAGGCACAAGGCCAAAAGTGCAGAGAACCCAGTAAAGATCGAACTCACTATTCTCTTTTAATTGATCTAACGAGACAATCTTGCTGACCATTACACCACTTCAATGTGCTTAAAAAATGTTTTCTTAGCGTAGCTTAGATGTGTCACAGGTCCTAAAACATGCAGCAGCCAAAGAGTATAGAATCCACTACTCAGCAGTAGTAGGTTCTAGCGGAGGCACGGTGGAATTATGGATAGCTGCTCAGATTGAGGAATTGGAGAGCCGAGTTCGATTCCCAGTCGAATCTATTACATTCATTTACGTGCTAATACCCTTGAGAAAGGTATGAATGCTCTTCTTCTCCCCACAGCTATGGGTAAATTTACAGGACAGACCGGGTTCTATAGCCTTGGATGGTAACTGCTCTACCGAAAAAAAGAAATGGCAACCTACTGTGGGGGAAAAATCTGCCTCGTCAGTCATGTATCGAAAGGTACATGATCGCCTGTATCACACATGGTGCATAACTGACTGACTGACTCAGCAGTAATTGATCTTGCGAGACAAACTTGATAACTATTACACCACACCAGAAGGATAACGATTTTGTAAGCCTGGCTTAGATGTGGCACAAGGCCAAACACTTTGAAGATGACACTCACTACTCCCTTTTGATCGATCTAACTAAACAACCTTGCTAACCATTACGCCACTTCGAAGTGCTCAAAAAAGATTTTCTAAGCGTATACTTAGTGTTGAAGCTTAAATAAGCATGGAATAATACAACACAAAATGTACGTTAACAAAATGTATTGAAACAAAGAATAGGTACACAATATTTACAGTTAGTTTGGTATATTCTTGGGAAGACTGTTCCTGCATAATGGGTTGACTAAATCGCAGTCGGGCAGAGTCTCTGGATTCAATTTCTTAATCTCTACTATCTTCCCCGTCTTCCGGTACCAACCCATATTTATATGGTCGGTAGTCCGCTTATGTAAATTAGGTGTATCATACACAACACTTAGATATGGCACAAGGTCTAAACTATGGAGCATCCAGCAATAATTGATCTAGCAAGAGAGAAACTTGCTATTATACCACGTCAGAATGCTAATGTTTTTTAAGCTTATCTTATATGTGACACAAGGCCGAAAATATGCAGCATCTAGTGCGGATCGGACTTATTACACAGTTGTAATTTATCTAGCGAGTCAAAGTTGCACCACTTCGAAGTGCCGGAAAATGTTTTTAAGCGTAGCTTAGATGTGGAACAAGACGGAAATTGTAGACCCCTCATTAAGGCATGAACTCACTGCCTAGTCGTAATTTATCAAGCGGGCCAAGTTTTCTAACCATTACACCACGTTTAAGTACTCAAACCATGTAGTTATATATGATACAATCGTCCTGTGAAGCACTTTCAGAAGGTTTATTTACGCTTTGAGGTTATCTAACGCTGGGGTGCCTTGTTGTAGAAGCTGTTTTACTATTGCTTAGAAGACAAAGATTACTATCGACCCAGTGTTCTCCATACATGATTCGACATTATCATATTCTTTGTTACATTGCAATTCATATTGGATTGGATTCATCCATTGAGAATCTGACAATCACGAAAATTATAGTGGATGAATGAGTTTCATGATTTGATAACATGTAGGATCATTGCTCTCCACGGCTTCCTATCTTGTTTAATTCTTAGCAGTGTTTGTCTTTTTACTATCCGTCCAATATCTTTTATGGCCATGTCACGCTTAAACACCGGTTTTCGCCTCGAAAAATGAAGTTAAGCTACGCCAAGCTCGGTCTGTACCTAGATGGTTGAACGCTTGTAGGTCACCAACTGCTGTAAACTTAGATGTGCGGGTGGCGTAATGGATAACGGCACGGACTTGGAAATCGGAAAACCGAGTTTCAATTCCATTTGGATTCGTTTGATTTACTAATGGGAAAGATATGAACTCACCCCATCCCCTCCCCATGGGTTAAATAATAGGACTTGTATCAATAAATCCTCATTATCGGGATGAGAAAGTGGATTTGGAGCTGTCCGAATGGAATTTATTTCTTATTATTCGAGTAGGGAGGGTAAGAGGATAATTCACACTTGTGTGACATGAAAGCTGGGGACACAGAGTTCTGAGAGAGCCTGGCAGCCATACGATTTGAATGGAGAGGAACCCTGACCAATCACCTCAAGCCAGGAGAGAAGCTGACACAAGTTGCCACGGAAAAGCGGGCTCGCAGAAAGCAAAGTGATAGCTCCAACAGACCAGAGACATAACAGACATGCAAACTCCCGCATCGGCCTCTACAGTCAAAAACGTCGATGCTCCAGCCAAGCAGACAAGCTGACCGACGGAGGCCTACAGTTTACGTGGCATGATGGGTTCTAGTTGTAAAAGTATTCACACATAGTTGAATATAATGAACCCGACTGGAATTGGAACTCGGCTTTGAGATTTCAAAATTACACATAACACATCTAAGCTTACAGTACCTGTTATTCCCAGCGACACCCATCTAAGTACTGACCAGGCTCGACGATATCTAACTTGGGCGATTGTATAGGAACCGATATTTCAACGGGATATGGCCGTAATCCTAACAGAACATTGAAAAAAAATTATATAAAGGCAATTTTAACGCCATTGTGAAGATAGTAAAAATTTATTTGAATAAAAGGATTTTATTGAAAGATGTGAGATAGGTTTCCGCAACATCATAAGGATGAAAAACGTAGAGATTTAAAATTAATATCTAAAAACTTAAGTGGAATCGGCGGCTCGGGTTCAAATTCTGGCCGAGGCTGTGACATTCATTTTTAAACAACTGTCCTGGAGAAAGACATATTTTCCCTTCAAAGCATATGTGCTAAACAGTGAAAGCAACAAGAAACCTCTCAGAAATATTTCACGAGAAGTCCTGACAATTTAAAGAAAAGGTATTCGTAAAGAGACATCCGCACCGTGACACACCTCCCAGGTCTTTTGATCAGAAACGGAAGTTTCTCCCTTGTTTCCTGTTTAGGATTGGGTTTCCGGTTCCTTGTTAAAGCCTACTTCAAGTGTACACTTTTAACGCCCCCGCCTAAAACTCTGAAATTTTATTTACTATTAATTAACATTTTTTTCCAAAATAGTATTAGATAAGTTTGCCTATCGTTCGGTTCAGACTTCTCTTCGATCTTTTGAACAGGAGTAGAGGTCTATCCTTCGTTTTCTGTTTAGGATTAGAATTCCATCTAAATTATTTTCCGTCTATTTCACTTCCGGTTGACCCTTGCATCTTGTTGTCATTATGACCTTGTTAGGGATGCTGCCTCTTAATCTGTAACTCTCTACCTTGAGTGGCTTTTGGGCTTTGTACTGGGTGAACTTCATTGTAAAATAGTTTGAATTAACCTGTTGACGTATAAGACTTTACCACTTCCCGAGGAACTATTCCTAGACATATTTCAATATTTCACGACTTATATATAATTCTTTATAACATAGAACATAGTAATAAAATAAATGTTAATATATCTTATGCCTTGCTTGAGTTTCACGGAACTTACTTCCATATGTCTGGAGACTCGATTGAAAAACTAAATTTAATAATAATAATAATAATAATAATAATAATAATAAGAAGAAGAAGAAGAAGAAGAAGAAAATAAAAAGAAGGAACAATTTTGCATACATTATTTACATTATTCGGACTGTTATCCACATCTTCATTGCCATATACACAACGTTTCGACCGTTGTACGCCCCGACCTTCTTCAAGTGATTGGAATTTTGAATCGAACCCTATATTTCGTCTACTGGGTTAGATTGTCCTAGTTCTACGTGATATGCCTCTTCCGGAGAGTTGAGTTAAAGGAAATAACTGAGTCGCCCGGAAGAGGCATGGCATGTGGTCTAGGACAATTTACAGTATTTCTGGTAGCCCACTAATATGTGAATTGCCAAAAAATCACACGCATGTTTACTTCTCACACTATGCGTAGATTACTTGTGACCACAACTGTATTCATTTTTGTTTTCTCAATAATCACATGGCACCTCATTCCCCCAGATAAAAAAAAGTATTTCTGTAAATAAATTCAATTTTACAATCAAGTCCTCTAACAAGTGGATCTAATAACAATTTAATTTATATGATAGGAGGAAGGTTTCCATAGCTGTGTTTCTTTGTTGGCCAAAAAATAAGTGGTAGATTACGTAGCCGACCTTGCCTTGCTGTCAGACACGATTGATAAGGTTACCAAACTTCTCCATCTCATCGAAGAAGCAGCCAGCTAGATTCGTCTCTACATTAATGCTGGCAAAACAAAATTTCTCAGCTACAAATAAGAAAGAGAAAAAAAAACGGTAACAGTATCATGTCCGTCCAGGAATTTGTTTACTTCGGTAGCAACATCCAGTCAACGGAGAGAGACATCAAAATCCGCAAAAGCAATGCCTGGGTATCCATCTGGAAGTCCTTCTTCTCTGATAATCTTAAGACGGACATTTTTAAGGCCACGGTAGAATCTGTCTTGCTCTACGGCTCAATAACATTTACATTGACGAAACACCAAGATGTATCACTTGACGAAACATACACAAGGATGTTACGAGTTGCATTGGACATCAGCTGGAAGAAACACTCCATACAAATAAGTAGGCAAAATCCAGACGAAAAAAGTAGTAATTTGACTATATATTTAGAATATTCTTAACTATTACGTTTCTGTGACTGAATCGATTCAACCAACGTCCACGTAAAAAAAAAAAAAAAAAGAATCCCAGGATATGGAGTGCAAGTGTATGTCTCAAGAGAAACTATTTTAGTTGTACTCTGCTTATATTAATGACTGCGAGGAATTTAGCCCGAGATCTTTACGATACAAAAGTGATAAAGAAATTCAAAAATAGAAATAAAATGATTTTAATAAGAAAGATAAATTTTAATTAAATTAAAATTATTTTTTAATTCAATTTAGATTCTATCAGGAAGGTAAAATTCCTCGAGTCTTTTTCATGGAAAATGTGAAAGGATTTTAGTATAATTAAAATCAAAGATATAATTAATTTTTGTGTTAATTATGCCTTGATTAGTTAAAAGTTATTAACTATGTCTTTTGTTGCGTACATTATGATCAGATTTTTCATGTATTCGTCGATAAAATTGATTAATTAATCTATGAAACAAAGATAAGGATAATTATAAGGTTGGGTCATAAATAATATACCGTATACACTCGTGTAACGCGCTATGTTTATTTTAAATACAGCTGTACTTTTTTTGACTACAGACAGTCAGTTATGTGCCATGCTGATACACGCTTAGGCGATCAGGTATCTTTCATTACTGACGGGGCAATTTTTTCCAGCAGTAGGTTACCATTTCTGTCTGCGGTAGACCAGTGGCCATCCAAGGCTATAGAACTCGGTCTGTCCTGTTATTTACCAATAGCTGGGGTGGGGGAGAAGAAGAGGATTCATACCTTTTCCAAGGGTATTAGCACGTAAGTGAATGTAATGGCTTGACTACAGTAAATGGAGATATAATTTGGTCAACGTCATAATCAGGTCCAGTTGTACATACGATGTTTTTATATCACGTGTGTTAAGGGGGTCGCATACCTCCTTAAAATTTTCTTCATAAGTCACATACGCAAGTAAATATGGTACCTTTTTTTATCAACTTCATTGTTAAAGAAATAAGCTCCAGTTACATTTTATTCTATTCATATGCACTATTATTTGCAATGGCATTTTTCAATTTATCTGGAAGATTTTCGATAATTTTTCCGGTAAAATTACACAGATTTTGATTAGAAAAATTACGACTAACTTTTGAATCTAGTTTTAATTATTCAATTTTTTTTTTTTATCCATAAAATCGTTTTGAAGAGATCAAGATTGATAATAATCAGTTGGTGTAAGATCAGTCGTTCACTTTTGAACCGCCTGCTCGGTTGAACTCTCTTCCTACGGACGGGAGGAACCCGAAGGAGGCTACGCCGAAGGGCAGAGTCTCCTTCGGGGAGGTAAAACCGGCCCTGAACCCGTTTATACGGGTTCAATGGGCATGTTTTTGGCCGAGCCCACGGGCTGCGAATGCCCACGTTAAAAAGGCCTTCGTTTGACTCAATATCGTAAGATCAGGAAAATACGGTCGCTGAGGGCAGAACAAACCAAATGAGATTAAGAAAATTTCCTCCATTCTTCCTGCTGCAGATTAGAACAAGATTTTTTGTTTCCTGTTGACGATCACAGAGCGCTTTTTGACGAAACATTTAACAGCTACTGTATCTATAACGTCCTAACGATGAACACCATCCGGCAGCACGGCCTCTGATCGAAAGATTTTGAGAATCGTGGAACCACCTCTTAATTTCTCTTCTTCTCATGTCTACCTTGACCAAGGGTGGTAGTAAATTTAGGGTCCCAGCTACGATCAAATAGTTCGCCATCAAACTGAGGTCAAAACACTATAAAAGTATTAAAATACATGTTTTATAGTAAAAAATACCAGCTATAGATTTTCATAGTTAGAACATTACCACCAATATATACTTTTTTTGTAAAAGGAATTACTAATGCTCCCAAGAAAATCAAATTTCGGCATTAAATGGCACATAAGAAGGTGATACGCCGCTAAACAAACTGGGTCTATAAATAAACAATCGAGGTTTCATTACGTTTTACCAACTCTATAACAGCAGACACGGAAAAGAAATTACAAAACCTCCAACAGAAGTTAGCGAAGGAGAACGAGAAGTAGTTGGGTAGGCATAAACTACAAGAAGACATAATGTAAGATCATCAGTAAAAAGATGAGCCCGAAATGTAATTTACAGGTCGGGATCACTAAAATCAAGCAGGTGGGGAAATTTACATATCTGGGAATGTTTTGGCAGAGGACGGCAAATGCGTAGCTGAGACCCGAAGACACACTGGGGTCGCCAAAAACGCATTTCAAAATCTAGGCAGAGTAAAACGATCACAGGGGTGGAGGAATGTTTTTGGTGACAAAGAAAAGAGTACTGAGCTGCTACGTGATATTTGTCCTCCTTTAGGCCAGGGAATGTTGGACGGTCTCCTCAACGATGAAGAAGATTCTCAAGGCAACGGAGGTATGGTTCTACAGATGGATGCTAAGGATATCATGGACCGAGCATGTGAGCAACGATGAGATTTTGGAGAGAATACAAACAAGGAGGAAGCTTATACTTAACATCAGGAAAAGGCAGTTGCAATTTCTGGGACACTTAATGAGAAAGGACGGCTTGGATAATCGGATACTCACAGGTCGAATAGACGGAAAGAGAACAAGGGAAAGAAACGTATGACATACCTAGCGGACTTAAGCAAGTGGGTGACAGAACACGGCCTGAGGAAAGTAGCAAAGGGACAAAATATATTGAGAGCTACAAGGGATAGGAGGAAGAGGAGATCCATGATTGCCTACGTCCTGAAGGGACACGGCACATAAAAAGAAAAGATGAATGATACCACGTCTATTCAACACCCACCTACAATATTACTCTTCTTTTATGGGTTGTTTTGGGCTACGCAAGTGAGATTTCTCCTCATAAATCAACTGCCTATTTTTACCTTATTTACATTGTTGGAACTGTTGTCGTCATCATTATTGTCATGTTTACGTCGTTTCGGACGTTGTACGCTCCGGTCTCCTTCAGTCTACTACCTTTTGTGCTGAATATTGTCGTATGCAACTCACTTTTCATCGCCTGTTGCAAGAACGGTTATTTCGGCAGATACATTCGTCATTACAATTGCTTCGCAATGACGGAAATTACATATCACTCAACCTAATACTTAATTAATTGTGGCAGATATAATGAACGAGAACCAGAGTCGAATGGCAGAAATGATAAACAGAACTTGCCTTCAGTATCTGTCTATATTTCTGAGATGAGGTATTATGTACACTATTTACATCATTCGGACTATTGTCCTCATCTTTGTCGCCATATTTATTACAACGTTTCGGCCTTTCAGTGTCTGTCTATATTTCTGAGATGAGGTATTATGCACAATATTTACATCATTCGGACTATTGTCCTCATCTTTGTCGCTATATTTATCACAACGTTTCGGCCTTTCAGTATCTGTCTATATTTCAGAGATGAGGTATTATGTACACTATTTACATCATTCGGGCTATTGTCCTCATCTTTGTCGCCATATTTATTACAAGGTTTCGGCCTTTCAGTATCTATCTATATTTCAGAGATGAGGTGTTATGTACACTATTTACATCATTCGGACTATTGTCCTCATCTTTGTCGCCATATTTATCACAACGTTTCGGCCGTTGTCCGCTCCGGCCTTCTTCAGGTGGTTGGACACATGGAACACTGGATAAAGGCGTTGGTTAGATCCAGTGACAGGACCCAAAGAATGCGAGTTCAATACCCGGTTAAAGCAGTGGAGAACTTTCAGAGGGAAAATTAACAGGAGATAACTGATAACTGACATCCATTAAACATGGCACGTGGAACTAGAACAGTCTATCCCAGTGAGCGAAATAAAGAGTTCAGTTCGACATTCCAAACACCTGAAGAAGGCCGGAGCGTACAACGGGCGAAACGTTGTAATAAATATGGCGACAAAGATGAGGATAATAGTCCGAATAAGGTAAATAAGGACCTGCCTTATTCTCGACGAAAGAAAATTCGTCTTTGTCTGACATGTAGGATTTCGATTTGAGAGAAGCCGAGTACATCGTTCTGTCAAAAGAGGCCCTTCTTCTTGGTGGTCCCACAAGAGATTGGTTCATTGCAAACTGTGTATGATATTAGCTTGGTTAGACAGAATCGAGGAAGGGCATCCGGGTATGTTAGGGCTCCCTTCTGAGATACCCGTATGTCTAGTATCCGGACGAGTGATTGGTGATTCCTCATTATAAATAGACCATCGTGGAGATGGGAGAGCTATTCTGTCGGTTTACACCGTACTATACATACAGTTGTGACAGGCAGGCTGAACGACAAAGCGAATACAGGGAAGAGAACAGCGATAAATACCGGTGTAGAGAGAAGAAACGCCCAATCTGAAATTACGTCCCAAAACAGAATTGCTAACTTCTTTTGCCCACACTAATTGAAATATTAAACGGGCAAGTGGGGTTCGCGGTTGTAATAATAAAATAAATATATACATAAGAATCAACTTAACATCTAGTTCAGTGTTTTCTTAGTATTAGATAGAACCGATAAGAATGTCATGTCAATGGCATACCACGATATATGATAAAGAATAAAGTAGC